TAAGGCGTTCTGAAGCTATAAATGAAAATTTTATAGTAGTATGAGGAAATTCTAACAGACAGACGTTTGTGGCACCACACTTGTAGTGTTTAAGCCTAAGGGTTCACGCGACTCGGGGAATTTTAAAATAACGGAAAAAATGCTATTTTTTTATAGTTTTTTTTTTGCATTTGTATTAGTTTTCAGAATCTGTATAATCCTATAAGAATTTTTTTTAAGGTAGTCCAATCTGATAAAAAATCCAATGATTCCAAGTTGAAAAAAATATTGCCTTGCTAAATTTGCACAAAATTGAGCATCAGCCATTATATAGTGAAGTCATTCAGAAGAGGTGATTAAAAGGATATCAAAAATTCCCACAAGTTTATACGGATTGGTCAAATCTGCAGCTACGTGTCTGAATTTCACTCCACCTTCGTCGCATTATGAGGCAGCATTTCTGAACGTTTAAAGTTACACCATTGAAGGTTTTGAAAGTCATCAGAGCCTTCCAGTAACTTTAGTCATAGGAAACTTCCACATACCATTTGTTCCTAGAATCTGGTCCTTCTCATCGTACACAAACTTTCAAAATTTGAATGTGATCAAATGAGAAATTCTCGAATTATGAGTGAAATAAAATCAAAAAGGACAAGAAGCAAAAAAAAAAAAAAAATCAACCAACCATTTAAATGTTCCCTTTCGGTGGATGCCTAATTACCTAGATATGAAAACTTTTCATGAGCTAATTATTTTTTCTTATTTTCGTGGGTTAGTGTTTAATTTCTCAAATGCTGCATTGTAGATTTTGTTTGTTGTGTATGTCCCTGCGCTAAATCATGGTACCGTTTTAATTTTTAAACCTTATGCCCACTCTGGGAAAGCTAGTAAAAAATATTAAAATATGGGTTATACTTTTGTTTCCCTTACCAATATTCGTATTTTTTAGGGGGGAGAGGGGCCTATATTACAAAACCTTCAATACACTTTTTATTATTTTTTTTTTTTTTGCGAATTGATCACATACAATTAGAAACCTTAATGTTTAGTGAATTTTCCCTGCGACAGGCTACATAACATTATATTAGTAACTTTTAATGTTTTTTCTTCAGTTTCCAGGAAAACAGATCGTTCAGTCGATTTGTCTTTTACAAAATTTTCTTCAGCCGTTATGATAGTTTTTACCTTACATCCCACAACACATTTAGAAACCTAAGCTTATGTTAGACTTTCTTCTTGAGGGTTTTTAACCTGTCTTGAGGTTTTTAACCAGTCTTACTAGGTTCTTTTTTTTTTTTTTTTTTTAACTAGTCTTTCTCATTGAGTTTTCTATTTTTGTGGGCTTTTAACTAGTCTTCCTCATTTTGCTTTGTTTCTTGTGGGTTTTTAACCAATCTTTCTCACTGGGTTATTGTTTCTTGTGGGTTTTTAATCAGTCTTTCTCACTGGGTTATTGTTTCCTGTGGGTTTTTAATCAGTCTTTCTCACTGCGTTATTGTTTCTTGTGGGTTTTTAATCAGTCTTTCTCACTGGGTTATTGTTTCTTGTGGGTTTTTAATCAGTCTTTCTCACTGCGTTATTGTTTCTTGTGGGTTTTTAATCAGTCTTTCTCACTGGGTTATTGTTTCTTGTGGGTTTTTAATCAGTCTTTCTCACTGCGTTATTGTTTCTTGTGGGTTTTTAATCAGTCTTTCTCACTGCGTTACTGTTTCTTGTGGGTTTTTAATCAGTCTTTCTCACTGGGTTATTGTTTCCTGTGGGTTTTTAACTTATGGTTTTCAGTGGGTTATCCTTGTTTCTCATGGATATTTTCCCTTATGATTCTCGTTGGCTTATAATTGTTTCCTGTGTTTTTTCCTTTTTTTTCACGTGGATTTCAGTATCTTCAAACAATGCAGGAGAGTGAGTGGGAGGCAGCAGCGTGTGCTCTTGGTATAAGGATAGTGGGTAGGCAGAGCCACACGTTACACAACAACCTGTATTTTGTAAAGCTTCATACAGCTCTCCCAGTGAAAGCTTCAGCAACATGTATATTTTCCTTATTAATACCGGAAGTACGCCATTTGAATCCCGTGGAAGTGGATGCCGGAACTGATGAAAATGAGATATGAAGTGACTGGAGTTTTTTTTTTTTTTTTTTTTTTTTTTTTTTTCGTGGATGATGTCTGGCCATCGGTTGTGGAAGTTTCAGCGGTCAATCTGTTGGTGTTGATGGGGGGAAGTTCTCGTAGTAGATATCCGAATCAAGGTTGTGAATGGATCTGTCAGCTGCATAGGTTGAGTGATTTCTCAGATTCTGTTTTTTTTTTTTTTTTTTTTAACTTACCGAGTTATCTCTCTCTAGCTTATTCTTCTTTTCACATAACTCCTCGTAAAAATAATTGACAAAATCTCACCGCATGCCTCAGTGTTTTCTACTTTGGGTCTCTAATTTTGTTATTATTAAGAAACAGCTCTGAAGGTTTCAGGTATATCTTCGTATTTTCTTAGTCACCTGATCGTCAGAGCCTAAATTCCTCGCTAGACCTCCAGTTTGCATATAACTTTCCGTAGCGCTCATTCCTTTCTCTGTTTTACCAACACTTGGAGCGTTTGGTAGAAAGAGACTACATGCAGCCCCATGTTCTGAATATAGCGTTATCAAGCTCTGCTTGTTCACAGTATGGTAATAACCACAAGATATGGAAGATGACATACGTACAGTTAAGACAGTTTACTTAAGGAATTGTTTTTAACGCCTGGCTTTATCATAACTGTATAGGTCTTTCCCCACATTTTATCAAGTTCTTTACAGTTTTTTTTTTCACTAACCTGCAACGTCTTGCCCTTGACAGCGATGTTTCATGATTTATCAGTTTTACCCCACTTCATTATGTCAAGGAAACTTTTCATATTTTATCTTCTCTGTTTTATCTACACACACACACAAACACACACACACACACACACACACACACACACACACACACACTAACACACAAAAAAAAAAAAAAAAAAAGACCGCAGAGTATAGTCTAGGTGGCCAAAGACTGCAAACCTCACTCAAGGAGAAAGATCTTGGGATGAGCATAACACCGAGCATGTCTCCGTAAGCACACATTAACCAGATAACTGCTGCAGCATATGGGCGCCTGGCAAACCTGAGAATAGCGTTCCGTTACCTTAGTAAGGAATCGTTCAAGACACTGTACACTGTGTACGTCAGGCCCATACTGGAGTATGCAGCACCAGTTTTGAACCCATACCTGGTCAAACATGTCAAGAAACTAGAGAAAGTGCAAAAGTTTGCAACAAGGTTAGTTCCAGAGCTCAGGGAAATGTCCTACGATGAAAGGTTGAGGGAAATCGGCCTGACGACGCTGGAGGACAGGAGGGTCAGGGGAGACATGATAACGACATACAAAATACTGCGTGGGATAGATAAGGTGGACAGACAGGATGTTCCAGAGAGGGGACACAGAAACAAGGGTCACAACTGTAAGCTGAAGACTCGGACGAGTCAAAGGGATGTTAGGAAGTATTTTTTCAGTCACAGAGTTGTCAGGAAGTGGAATAGTCTAGCAAGTGATGTAGTGGAGGCAGGAACCATACATCGCTTTAAGACGAGGTATGACAAAGCTCAGAGAGCAGAGTGAGAGAGAGAGGACCTAGCAGTGATCAGTGAAGAGGCGGGCCAGGAGCTGAGTCTCGACCCCTGCAACCACAATTAGGTGAGTACAGTTAGGTGAGTACACACACACAACTAGGTGAGTGCGCGCGCGCGCACACACCTTTTTTGTTTCTCACTGTGAGTGTTACCATTTCAGTTCTTTATTATCTGCTGTATATCTCGAATCTTCTCAAAATCTGATGATCATTTCTCCGCTAAACTCTGTTCCTGTCTTTCATCTTGTGCATATTATCAGTGATCTTCTCTCTGTCTTTTCTGCTTCAAGATAATTTAAATGTAACTTGGTTGCCTGATTTCCTTTTATTTCTTACTTCTTCCGTCCTCATTCCTGCTATCTTTTCACGTTATGAGAGCTAGTGTCACGCAGGCTTGTGCCCAAGGCCCACTAACTTTAATCCGGCCTGTGCTCATGTGCGTGTGCGCACTCACCTGTTTGTTGTTGCAGGGGTCGAGTCTTACCTGGGAACCTTCCCTCAGTTTGCCACTTTGCAGATTCACTCCCTCTTCCCTTCTAGCCTCATGAACCTTACGTTCCTGCTCTTGAAACTATGTATGGAGCCTGACTCCATCACTTCTTCAAAATCATTCTGCTCTGAGACTGAATAAATACTTCCTGACATCCCCGTGACTCATGTGCGTCTTTAACTTACAGCTGTCTCTGAGTACGTGTCTTTTTGTTTTTTTACCTCTAAAACATCCTGACCCGGTCTTCTTTATCATTTCCTGAGTATTTTGCATTTTATCGTATCTTCCCTGATTCTTCTGTCCTCCAGTATCGGTAGTCGTTTTCGTCAGCCTCTCCTTGTAGTTCATACTCCTCAGTTTTTAAACACTTATTGTTGCATACTTCTCCACTTTCTCCAGTTTCTTAACATACTTTGTGTGTATGGAGGGGGGATTAGGGGGGCGGTACTGGCAATACTATATTGGTGTCTGCCAAACAAAACATTTTATTTGTGCGTATATACTCATACTGATATTCCTAACTCCGCTCTCCTGTCAGTTAATGTTCAGACGCGTCTTAACATGCGCTACACTATCACGGGATCAACCTTTCACTAACCCCCTCGCCTGTTGACATTCAATTACATTTGACCCTCCATAAAGTATCGATCATTAACCCCACCAGTACATACGTAATGGCCCCAGCCTCTCTTCTCATCTCAGCTTCGGCGATCTTTGCCTAGGTGAAACGACCTTTGCTCTCCTTGCAATGGATATTTTTACATGCACAGGAGACCCACGACCATAAATTATTCCGTACGGCCTCTCCCACTGGATGTTCCCGTTTTCTGTGGGTGGTGGATGGTGCCATCTCTTGGTAGCGAGAAGAAGTGGCTGCCGGGGTAAACATGGCGAGACTCCTGGTCAGCTGGCAAGCCCAGTGTTGGTTGAACCTGTGTTGTGAGTGTGTGTGTATAACCCTGCTCGAATGGCGATGACTTTTGTGCTTTCTTAGTGTTATCTGTGCTCAAAATTTGGATTACGTCTTCCGCCATGTTACCCGCCGGCAAAGAAGGTGAGATTGAAGCTATCACTACACGGATCGGGAGATAAAATTGAGGAAGTGCAGGCTTTGGTACGGGTGTGTCGTCTGCTAACAGGCTCAGCTGTGAGTTGCGAGCGTGAGTGTGTGTGTTCATGAGTGTGTGTGTTTGTGCGTATGTGTCTGTCAGTGTATATATGTTTATGTCCATCGTCAGGTTTTTGCCACTTTCTATCTTCGTGGATAATTCCTCGGATAATTATCTTGCAGGGCTCGTGAACGTACTTGTACGCTTGGTACAACGTCGGTCAGAGGACGTACTTTATTACAAAATTATTATGAAAGTACACCTGCGTTCATTTTGCTGTGTTATCCTTGATTAAGTAATTACTTGTAATTGTTGAAGACTATAATGTTATTGTGTGTGTGTTTTAATTTCGAGTTCTTTATGTAAAACAAAGTTTACCTATTAAACCTCGTAGTTAATATATTTTTAAGTTACTGTCTTAAGTAAATTACTTAGTAAAAGGTGCTTCCAGTCTTATTTTTTTATCGCTACGTGTATGAAATTGTTATAGAGATGCTATGGTAGTTTAAGATTATTTAATGTAAGGCAGGAAGAACTCTGGCGATGTAAAGTATGCTAAGCAATAAACGAATCTTCTCATACTTCTTCTGCCTCTTCTCTCTATCCTTCCTCCCTGGCCCTGCCCCCCCCCCCCCAACATCCTACCTGCTGGCTCCGGCCAGTCCACCTTACCTGGCCGGCGCTAGTAACTTTAATATGTAAAAAAAAATCTTTTTGTTGTGGTATTTTTTTTTTATAATTACTGCCACCAGTACTGCAGTTGTGGTGTATGTGTGTGTGTATGAGTGTGGTGATTCAGTTCCTTTTGTACTAACAATGAAAAATACTTAATCCTTAAGATAAAAATAACGACAGACTGACCTCCCCCCCCCCCACACACAATTCTACAAAGTGACCTACATAGCCTGCAAACCTGGTCCTGCAGCTGGCTCCTTGAATTTAACCCTGCCAAATGCAGTCGTGAAGATCGGGGAAAGGCAAAGAAGACCGCCGACAGAGTATAGTCTAGGTGGCTAAAGACTGCAAACCTCACTTAAGGAAAACAATCTTGGGGTGAGTATAATACCCAGTACATCTCCTGAGGCGCACATCAGTCAGATAACTGCTGCAGCATACGGACGTCTGGCAAACCTAAGAATAGCTTTCCGATACCTTAGTAAGGAATCGTCCAAGATTCAGTACACCATATACATCAGGCCCATACTGGAGTATGCAGCACCAGTTTGGAATCCACACCTGGTCAGGCACGTCAAGACATTAGAGAAAGTGCAAAGGTTTACAACGAGACTAGTCCCAGAGCTAAGGGGATTGTCCTACGAAGAAAAGTTAAGGGAAATCGTCCTGACGACACTGGAGGACAGGAGGGTCAGGGGAGACATGATAACGACATATAAAATACTGCGAGGAATTGACATGTTGGACAAAGACAGGATGTTCCAGAGATGGGACATAGAAACAAAGGGGTCACAATTGGAAGTTGGACTCCTATGCATCAAAGGGACGTTAGGAAGCATTTCTTAAAGTCATAGAGTTGTCATTAAGTGGAATAACCTAGAAAGTGACGTAGTGGAGGCAGGAACCATACATAGTTTTAAGTAGAGGTTTGATAAAGCCTATGGAGCAGTGAGAGAGAGAGAGGACCCAGTAGCAATCAGTGAAGAGGCGGGGCCAGAAGCTATTACTCGACCCCTGCAGCCACAAATAGGTGAGTGCAAATGCGCAGATAGGCGAGCGCGCGCGCACACACACACACACACACACACACACACACACACACACACACACACACACACACACACACACACACACACACACACACACACACATATACGCATGCACATACAACAGGCCTAGTGTCTAATCGACATGTACCTAGGACCAAATGGTAACTAACACACACACACACCACACACACACACCACACACCACACCACACACACACACACCACACACACACCACACACACACCACACACACACCACACACACACACCACACACACACACCACACACAACACCACACACACACACACACACACACACACACCACAACCCCACACACCACACACAAAACACCACACACACACACACCACACACACACCACACACACACCACACACACACACCACACACACACCACACACACACACACACACACACACACACACACAACACACACACACACACACACACACAACACACACAGCACACACAACACAAACACACACAACACACACAACACAAACACACAAACACACACACACACACAACACACACACACACACACACACACACACACAACACACACACACACCACACACACACACACACACACACACACACACACACACACACACACACACACACACACACACACACCACACACACACACACACACACACACCACACACCACCACACACCACACACCACCCACACACACCCAACACACACACACACACACACCACACCACACACACACACACACACCACACACACACACACACACACAACTCGCAGGAACCAAGGATCAGATGAGAATTTTTCTGGTAGGGAGGAGTGGATGAAGGAGCAGTGGAAAAGGATGGAACAAGAGTGGGAGAGAAAATTAGGAGAGCTTTCTGAAAAAATGGAGAAAGAGCTCTCTGTGAAATTGGAAAAGAGGTTGGAGAAGGAGACAAAGAATTGGGAGGCACAAGTCGAAACTGCAGTAGCCAAGATAAGGGTCCTAGAAGTTGAGATAAATAGGCTGAAGCGAGTTACAGGGCAGTGACCAGAGAAGACACAGCATATGAAGCTGCGAGGCCGAACAGGAAGGAAGGAATTATGAATTATGCTAAGGTCATATCAGCCTGCCAAGGAGGACCAAAGGAGTGAAAGGGAAGAACAGCTGGTTGCAGATGGAGAGGGCGATGGGTCGAATGCTGAGGCACAACCATGCTATCAAGAGCCACTGGAAAAAACAAGGAGAAAACTGACCACATACAGGCGGGATCCAGAGTCACAGAGGGTGAGGCAATGGAGGAGGAAAGGGCAAAATCAGTGTTTACCCTGGCTTCAGGAGAGAGAGGAAAGGACACACACCCGAAAGGCAGCAGGAAGAAAGAAAGGAGATTGAGAAAATCATCACGGAAATAGGTGAAGAGATGGACGAGATTGTAAATTTTCAGAGAATAGGGGGGTACTCGAAGGGGAGAAACCGACCAATCAAGCTGATTCTCAGGACGGAAACAGTGCGGAAAAGGATCCTCCAAGAGAAACCCGGTTGAAATACTCGGTAGAGTACAAGAGGGTGTTCCTAGACAGAGACGAACAAAATCAGAACAACACCCCTGGGGGAAGGCAAAAAAGCAAAAGGAGCTAGGAAAAGAGAAAAGGGATGGAACCCAGCGGGGTCTTTCAAGCAGAACAAAACAACAAGGGCAAGCACCACAAAACTATTCTAAAACCCATACAACCTATCACCCCACCCAACACCACTACATCCATACCCACAGCCTCCCCCCAACCCCAGCTATAGAATCCACAGTATGCCACCGGGTCCCCCCCTCACGGGCCCCCCAAACCCAGTGGGGGAAAGGGAAACTAAGGAGGTACAAAAACGCTGAGGGAAAACAAATAAGTGGGGGGAGTGGCTGAAAAGTAAAAGGGCATCACCGGACATATGTCTCACAGAAACCAATTACAGGTTTGATAACAGTGCCATCTTTCAACGGGATCCAAATCCTGAGGAAAGACAGAGGGAACAGGGGGGGTGGGGTGGCATTGCTGAAAAAAAACCGGGAATTTTTGATGAGCTGGATGGGGAGACAGGGGGAGAAAAAGTGATTACAACGGGAACGCTTCATCGGAGGTCCCAAGGTGGTAATAGCAGGATGTAAACCCCACCACGAACAGAGGGGGCCAAGGCAAGAGTAGACGAGAGAATAGAGCGATGGTTGACCAGGGGCTAGAGTGGCCAGAAGCTATGCTGCAGGGCAAGCTCCTGATCATGGGGGACTTTTAAACCCCAAGGAGACGATTGGGAGAACTTGGACCCACATGGGGGCCAAGTACTGGAGGGCTAAGATGATGGAGGGGTACTGGAAAAAATTCATGTGCCAAACATAAGGACACAAAAAAGAGAGAGGAGAGGGTAAACCAGCAAGGTGGACTTGTATTCATTGAGTAGTGCAGATATCGAGGACGTCACATATAAAGACCCCTTGGGGCCAGTGACCATGGGTTTTTTAAACTTCGAATACACAGAAGCTACAAGTGGAGGGAGAAGCGGAAGGCCCGGACGAAAGAAGCCAAACACAAGAAAGGGGGACAAACAGGAATGAGGAACTTCCTGAACGGGTTTAGTGGGACAGAGAAATGGCAGGGAAGCCAGTTAATGAGATGATGGAATATGTAGCAACAAAATGCAAGGAGGCTGAGGAGAGGTTTGTACCCAAGGGTAACAGGAATAATGAAAAAGCCAGGATGAGCCCATGGTTTACCCAAAGGTGCAGGGAGGCAAAAACCAAGTGTGCTAGGGAATGGAAGAAATATAGAAGGCAAAGGACCCAGGAGAATAAGGAGAGCAGTCGTAGAGCCAGAAACGAATATGCACAGATAAGAAGGGAGGCCCAAAGACAATATGAAAACGACATAGCAGCAAAAGCCAAATCTGACCCGAAACTTGTACAGCCACATCAGGAGGAAAACAACAGTCAAGGACCAGGTAATCAGGCTAAGGAAGGAGGAGAGACAACAAGAAATGACCGTGAAGTATGTGAGGAACTCAACAAGAGATTCAAAGAAGTGTTCAGAGGAGACAGAATGGGCTCCAGAAAGACGGAGAGGTGGGGCACACCACCATGTGCTGGACACAGTGCACACAACCGAGGAAGAAGTGAAGAGGCTTCTGAGTGAGCTAGATACCTCAAAGGCAATGGGGCCAGATAACATCTCCCCATGGGTA